GATTTAAATTCAGCCTTACCTTACCCGCGGGTAACACGTACGGCCCCGTGAAAGTTTTTTGCAGGTAAATTAATATCTCGGGAACCACGGAGTCTGGGAGGCTGAAATTTTAGGGTAATGACCCCCTGCTCACGCGCAACCTTGCCCATTCAAATTCAGCGTTATCGCGCTCTCGGGTATCACCTACGGGCTAGTGAAAATTTTTACGGGTAAATTATTATCTCGGGAATCATGGAAAGATATTCACCCTTCAAGGTTTAGAATTCAGCTTTCATGCGTTGGTGCGTGAAATTTTTAACTATTTTCCGAAGTTTGAACTATTTTTGCGTAGACAAAAGTACAAAGCAGTGAAAATCATTAATAGGCAATCGTGTCGATGGACTGAATCGCACAAAACGCATGATCTCACCGGCTAGTCTGGTACGCGTCGCTATTTATCTCTTTTTATCAAATATATTACTTGCATTATTTTGCCTTTCCAAAGAAATCGAATTGTGTAACAGGATGCTTTACGTTTGTTTCAGCGTGCTGCGAATGAATTATGCTCTCATCAAAAGAAAATCTATGAATTGGACACTCATTCCGGCGTCTCTATTGCAGGATTGCTTTCCGACGGTCGGATACTTGCGTAAGCTTACCTTTTCTTTCTAAAGATTTCGTGCGATGCTTCATACGCTACAGCAGCAGCAGATCTTCGTTTTGATTGCCTAGGCTGTTTTGTTATTCTTTGTTTTTTATATTTTTTGTATTATGAAATTTGCGAAAAAAAAATGTATTTTTTGTTGTTATCTGTTTTGTTGATTCGGTGCCTATGAGAAGCATGTTTTTAGGCGCTTTTTACAAACAGAATGTTCTGCATGGAGATGGGATTACAAAGAGCCTGTGCCAATCCAGGTGCTTAATAATCGGATCCAACTTAGTAAGTCTCGTTTGTGTTTTTCCTATGCATAGGAGAAGAAGCAAAAGCTGGTGCTTGAATTTTACCGAATAGTGCAAATTTTGCTAAAAAGAAAAAATTTTTGCAAGAATCGGTTGCACTGACACATACTCCAGAACTTGTATATATGATCAGTGCCATAAAATTTTGACCTCTGATCCAGACTACAAAAAAAAGGTTACGGCCACGCTGAGATTTGATCTGACAAATTATTTACGTAGGAAAGGGAGGGAGGAGGTGGGGAGAAGCGGGGAGGGAGGGGAAGGAGAGGGGGGTGGCGGACCCGAGCACGATAGTGCGAAGAAATGAAAGTGATGTTAAAGGCGATGCACGTGTTCATTAAACAAGACTAAAAGGTATGTATGTATATACATACGTACATACACGCATGCATACATACATGCATACATATATACATAAACATACATGTGTAAATACATACATACATATATGCATGCATACATACATACATACATACATACATACATACATACATACATACATACATACATACATACATACCGTACATACATACATACATACATACATACATACATACATACATACATACATACATACATACAATAGTAAATAAATACACACATACATACACAAATGCACGCATACATACATACATACATGCACGCACATACATATGTATATGCCTTGTTTTTGACTGAAAAAAAAATACAGTATTGGACCATTATAATGCTTCTGAAGGAGAAGCAACAGGATGAGACTGCTAATAGCATGGGCAGAGTTCATCGGAGACAGAACAGAGGCTACGTTGTCAGGCAAATCAACGCTTTTATTGCAAGTTGCGCACAGATTGTTCTGTATTTTCCATTTTCTGCCAAAAAATTTAGATTTTAGGCTTCTAGAATTAACCTGGTTGCTATAATCTGCTTATTCTTATGATCATAAGTGTGTTAATTTTGAAATATTTGCAGAACTCCAGGCAAATACACAGATTTATGGGCGTCGTCCGTTCGGCGTGGGGCTCGTTATCGCTGGTTACGATGTAAGTCCATCTATTCGTACTTTTGAATTTTTTGTTTTTTTTTATGCAAAATTTTTAAACTGAAAAATTTCGATTTTTCGAATAAAGTTACTAAAAGACACGGGCTGATGTGGAATTTGGTGCCACAAAAATTGCATTACAGGATAGGGGAACACATATCGTAAAAACGGACCCATCAGCGGAAGTTGTTGAAACATTAGCAAGTTCAATAGGTGCTCGTTCTCAGAGTGCTCGTACTTATCTTGAACGAAATCTGGAGCATTTTCCTGCCGGTTAGTTATTTTTGAATTCACATGATTTGTTTAATATTATTACAGTTATATTAACTAAGATCTGATATGCGTGTGCGCCTGTGTCCATGTGTGTGCATATTGTTTGCATATGGTTTACGTATGTGAGAATATGTGTGCGTGCGTGCACGTCTGTTTGTGTATATGTGTGCATATACGTGTGTGTATGCATGTTTGCGTGTTTGTTTATGTGTGTATGTGTATTTGTGTGATGTGTGTATGTATGTTTGTGTATGCATGCTTCAGTTTTGTTTTAATCGGGTGCGCAACACTTTTATACTTTTCTTTTTTGGTGATTTCCGCTTCAAAAAGTGAAGTTTATCAATCGTACCCGTTTGCAGCGAATCTCGAGCAGTTAGTTGAGTATGCTCTTCTTGCGCTAAGAGATACATTGCCGGCCGAAGATAATTTATCGAAAAAAGTCAGTTTTTTTTGTTATTTTACACTGCATAAGCCGTGAATTATCACTGTGTGCCGCATTTGCTGTGCTATACCTTTTCTGTTGAACCAATTTAGGGACGAGGG